CATTGAAACTCTTTTTAGTGAGATCCTCTTAATCAATAGATATTTTGAAAAAATAGAAAGATAAAGTGAGTTAAAATTTTATATTTAGGGCCAAATTTAACCATCAACTAGCTTTTATATTAAGGATCAAAACTATAAAAGTTATATGACTAATTTGAAAATATTAAAAAGATTAGTTAATAACTTAGTTACTTGTTACAAATGTGTGTTGGTCTTTATAAACTATTCTCTTCAATCATATGTATCGAATGATTAAAATTGTCCCTTGATGGAAACCCCTAAAAATCAATAGAGATATTTAAAAAAAAAACAGCAAAATGAATTGAGGTATTATATTTAAGATGAAATTCAACATCCAAACTGGTTCTTATATATTAAGCAACGGAGTAGTACTTGCATATCACCTGCATTAAGTAACTCATATATGTGTGCGTAGTGTTGTCTGAAAGTAAAAATGATGCATGCGTACACAGTTAAATTAGTATAAATTAGTGTGATAGCAACAGGCGTTTGCGTGCCCCTTCCATGAGTTAGATTTAGTTCCCATATGAGGAGTGTGTGAAAGAGAGGTGAAGTACTACTCTGGTCCTAATTATAAGAGTCAGTTGACTAATTTAAAAAAATTAAAGAAAGAAGTTAGTTAGTTATTTGTAATAAACAAGTGTTGTCTTTCCTAAAATATCCTTACTAATCAAATATGTTGGCTAGAATTATAATTATTAAAAGGACTATCTCGGAAAAAATTGAGTAAATGTGAGAGACAAAATAGATTGAGGTCTTATATTTAGGACCAACATAAAAGTCAAACAGAGTTTTATATTAAGAACCGGAGGTAGTATCTAATAATCACTCGCATTATTAAACACGCATGATGCATCAAGTTGAGAGATAATTTTGTGATTTAATATTAGTCATTTCTCGAGACTCCATGCAATATATGGGTTTCTGACTGACTAACTCAAATATTGAACGCTAAAAAAAAAAAAAAAAAGCTTACCCCAACAAATTGACCCAAATGACATGCATATCCTGTATTTGTTTCACTTCTCAAGTTGGCAAGAAAGATTCTCTAGCTAGCTTACCTCAAGTAGCGAGAGAAAACGGTGTCTATTTTTGAAAAGCTGGCCAGCCGTTCAGCTCAACTTGTCACTATATATGTTTTTTGTTTGGGCTGAAAAAGCTAACATCACGAGTTCTCAGATTCGCCCTTCTACTATCTCAATATTACCCTGCTAATCCTTGTTCCCATATCCTTAATTAATCTGGATTTACCCTCGCTAATTAAGCTGCGCATTTGACAATTCGCCTCTGATTTTAACTTTATTTGTCAATATGATCCTTACAAATGGACCCAAAGTGAGCTGGGGGATGTTTGGCCACTTTGAGATTTCTTTTCTCCTTTTTCTGGGTTAAAACTTAGTCTAACATTTCATAGAATTGCCAATTAATTGACATATGCCGAGTTAAATTTTTATACACACGCACAAAGAAAATGGAAAGAAAGGGTTTAACTGAATAATATATTGATGAAAGAGCAACGTGAATATACGTGATCATTTGTGAAAAGTTAACTTCTTCAATATAATTCTCCGTTCTTGTTCCATATATATATGAGTTTAAGTTGGCTTAATGACTTCGAAAATTCAAAATCGTTATAAACATGATTTAATAATATCAATGTGAGTTAATTTACGGTTTTAAATTCTTGTTTAACTATAGCATCCCGTCCCTACTTATGTAGGGAATCGTTTGAAATTAGGGTGATATGCGCTTCGAATAAAATAGGATACCAGTACAAAAAATACAATTTTATATATATTGAAAGATTTGCAAAATAATACTGAGTTAAAAATCTTAAAAAGTCATAAAATATAATATAAATGAAAATATTTTCTGAACTTAATTTTATAGGAGTAGTTTAATAAACTCTCATAACTACTTAAAAAAGCTATTTTACACAATATAAAATTCTTCTTACATATTTAACAGTTATAGCTCAAAAATGCTGCGTTATAAACTAATCCTTATATTTAGGTATTAAAATAAGTTAATCCAAATACGAGAAGAAATGCATTAAGTGGCATATGGTTTGAGATCACAATGATTGAAGAGCATTTGAGTCAGAGAGCATGCATCCTTGCTCGTCATTCGTCAACGGAGGACAATGATTAGGGGGAAATGGATGCATCCCCTTCGTTTCACTTCATAATTTCCCCATCTCTCGCAGAATAGTGGCTTTTACTTTTTCAATCTCTTCTTTTTCTTTCTTCTTTTTTTGTGTGGGACCTTTTGCTTCTTCTATCTCAACTCTCAACGGCAGCTTTTGTATTTCTGTTCTTTTGTTTCTTTTAGGACCTGTCTAGGCAATACAGGAAACCATAGTTTTGGAAGCTAAATCATGATTTAGGTTTCAAATTTGCTAAAAAGGTGAAAAAATTAACAAACTATAATTTTGGGCTAAAACCGTGGTTTTAGACTCAAAACTATAGTTTCAGAAAAAGTGAATCTATTATACTTCTGGTTTAAATTGAAAAGTATAATTGTGCCTATTAGAGTAGATCTAAATGACAATATGACTTTAACACCTTTCAATTATTTTTTTATAAACATATTTAATCTTATATTATATAAATATATGTACACATACTAATTATTTATTAATTATATTATCTTATATATTATTAATCATGTTGGTAAAAAATATATTATTAACAATTTTATTTGTTCAAATTAAAATATATTATAAAATCTATTTTTTATATAATTATTATATTAACCTATGTTTTTTTAGTAATTTGCACGTATAAAAAATGTGTCTGATAACAACTATCCAAAAATTTTCACTTTATCAGAATTACTTTTTCATAAAATCTATTCTTCCAAAAATCATTTCTTCAGAAGCTATTTTCCAAACCATGGTCTGGTTTTATCCAAACACCCATTTAATGTGAGTTTGGAAATCCATTAATTATAATATATTACTAGTAATTCATTAATAAGTAAGAAAGTAGTTTCCATAGTAATATCTCCATCTATGATTGCAGTGTATGTATAGTTAGTATTATATGATTCATATTGAAACTAATATCTGCTGCGTTAAGTTAAAACTCTTTTAACAATGCATTCTTCGGGATTCGAATTTATATTTTCTTTCTTATAAAACGATACTGTTTACTATTTTAACTAATAGTTTGTTAGTATATTCTCTTCCATTTTATCACCTGTTTTGATATATTTTACAATCTAATTTTAATGTTAAGCATAACTGTTTTTTTAATATAAATTAGTAAAAATCCTTTTCTGTAAAAAGTTTGATGGAGCTTTTATATATAAAATAATAATAGTATATAAATATAGAGCCCTTCTTCGTCCTTTCCGTTTCGAATCATTATCATGAATCAATAATAATAGCAACAGTGAATCAGCTTTTGGGCTTATGTCTGTGGGATTTGACCGGCGGTGGGGAGAAGGATCAACCAAAGCAGTGGTCATAATTAATGAAAATTAGTATTAAACACACCGTTTCTAACTTTTTCAATTTTCTTTTAAAAATCATTTTCAAGTGCATGATGTCTGCTCCACAATGCTGATTCGTTGAACTCCTTTATTCGTTTTTGTTTTATTATGACAGGGTACGTGAAGAACGATGCACCTGATGTTCTGATATCCGGAAAATTATCGAACGTGTTAATTTTTTTTACTGAATTTCTAATTATAAGATTTTATTTATAAATATTATAAATAAAATTTTATAATTAAAATTAGAAGCAATATTAAAAAAACTCACCCTGTTGCATCAAACCTGAAATATATCGAGAACAACATTTTTTATGAGATATTGCTGAGCATATTCTTCTAGTTAATAAACTACACACACGTATAATTTTTAATGTAAATTTACAATTTCATTTGAAACTTTCGATCATTATATTATAATAATTGCAAAAGTCTTCTTTCTGTTTATAAAAGTCAATGTACTGGTAAGGCATTAATTGTCGTATGTATATATCCGCATTAAAGTCCAGACCGACCTGTGAGTTGTGACAGAGGATTATACAATTTAGCTATTTGACCATGTGTGCTTAACATTAAATTCTTCAAATTAACCAATAAAATGTGGATTTTTTTTTCACGCTCCCCTAAGATATTCACTGATTTAACTTATAGTTTAATTTTATTACAAAAAAGTCATCCTATTATGTTTAAAATGAAAAAATTTAACACCGGGGGCAAAAAAATTAAAAAGATAATTAACACGCCTACTTAAAATTTTCAATTTGCTTACTCTCCTACGATGTTCTCTAAGTTTATCCTAAAATCTGGATGGCATCCAATTCTCTTGATAATATCTGACTTGTAAATATGAAAATTTGATTTATAAATGTTAAATCATTAAATTTTACTTGTACATTATGAAGTTAAAAAGCAAATTAAATTAAAAATAAAGAGACAAATCTTCCTTTTAAATAGGAATACAATGCTAGTATTTTTTTTGCCATTGAAATATAATACTAGTATTACATGTACTCATACCATTTTTATATTAAGAAAACTTTTCTAAATTAAAACCTATAAAATATGAGCCTTGTTTAGTTAACAAACACTTAATGCGAGGACATGGACTACAAGAAAAATTAAAACCCAACTATTATTTTTTAGTTTTAAATATAAAATTTATTTTATAAAATAAATTTTATATTTAGTGTTGACAAAGGAGTACTTAGGATATGTATCTTCGTCGGGGAAAAAACAATTTAGGATACGTATCTTTAAAACTTATAGTATTAAATTTGGATCCCTGTATATAATTTTCTCAAATCATACAGAGTAACGTGGCGCATGAGCATGAAGAGGGGCAAAAAAGTAAAATAAGGAAAAGAGGAGTAGATGCATCTGAGGAAAATCTGCTGTTGAAACAGCCCACTGGAATTCCAGGCGCAGCCCCTGGTTTTCAGTTTTGCATAAACCATTTCCATTTATCTTTCACCCAACCCTACTCCTCCTTCTATTCCTCTTTTCTCTCATCCGTCCTCTGTTAATCCCATTTTTCGCATTTCTCTCCCCACTTCAACTCTCCATAACTACGCGACCTTCCCAGAATTCGTATCCCGTATCATCATCCCACCATTTTCCTCTGTTCTTCCTCTTTTTCCTTTTTTTTTCGGTTTTTTTTTTCTCCTCTGGTGCATTTTGTTTTTCGGGACGTTGTTTCTCGCGTTTAGGGATTTTCTTGGACAATACCCATTTACGGAAAACGAATTCTGTCGGGTCCCTTGGAGGCATTTCGTGATTGAGCTCTGTTTTTAGTACTACACCGTGATCGTAGTGTTTTTCTCTTATTAATAACTTGACTTTCTGCTGAATTAAACTGAATGGGGATTGAGGGGACTTTGGCTGGTAGAAAGAGCAAAGACTTCTTTGAAATACCAAAAGAGACGAATCTCAATGGTAAATCAAGGAAGAACCGGCGGCGTCAGAAGAAGATGTCGCCGGTTCAGAGACTATTTGAGACTTGCCGGCAAGTATTTGCCTCTGGTGGGACTGGGATCGTTCCGCCTCCTCAGGACATTGAAAAGCTTCGAGCTGTTATAGGTTTGTGGTCTAATCAATCATACTTGCCGACTTGTTTGCATATACTTTATACTTTCTACTACCGTCCGGCAGTTTTCGCGACCTTGCTTGCTTCTGATATGAAATTTATTTCGAAAGGGAATGTAATTTTTCCTGCTATTTTTTTTATTTTTAATGTTGCTGTGGGAAGATAGTTGAGACATTGAATTTTCCCTTTTTCTCGGAATTATTAACTATCTTGTTTGTTCATGGAACTTGGTATTCCTGGAAGGTTCAGCTAAAAAGCTGAGTCATTGTATCTCATTTCAATTTATATGGTTATTATAAATATAAATATGTGGTACTACTAATCCAATTTCGCTTTTGTGCCGTTTCTGACATTCATTAAATTATTCGTGGTGGCACCAGTGGTGGGCTGCGTGCTCCAATGTATCCTGATTATGTTTTCGACCTTGGGGGTGGGGACATGGTTTTGTGTGATACATGCATGTATTAATTTATATCTATTCTGCAGGTGTTCTACCATCGAATCAAACAAAACAGGAAAAAAACAAAGAAAGAAAGAAAGAAATAATGCTTGTTGATATGTGCTTATTGTTTCCCCAACTCAAGAGCCATTACATTGCTGGTTTCAGGTTACAATGTAATGTCAAGTCCGAGTTCTGATATGACGGAGAGGCCAAGCATAGGATTCAGGCAAAAAAAAAAACAGAGAGAGAGAGAGAAAAGAAAAAAGAGCATAGAATACTCAGTTGTGTTACATTTAGGGTTTAGTCAAATGTCATCCTGAATTTAAGCGATTTAGCAACTTATTTATGCTTCTCTCTTCTTCTCCCGTGTCTTTCATCCAGGCGTTGGAAAATAAAAAAGCCCGTAGGGATAGTTTGGATATGTTATATCCCAAATTGGGGATTGTTTGGTTTGATGAGCCTAAAGAGCTTGTGTTGCAAATCCCGAAAAGCCAGATAAAAAGGGTTATTTGTCAATAATGCTAAGGATTCTGCTACTAGCTGTCTTTTTCACATTTTATTTGTTTTTCTGCCTTTCATATACTGTGCAGAGCAACTAATTGAGGCCTCCTCTGTGCAGACGCAATAAAACTAGAAGATGTCGGCTTGAAACCTGAAATGCCATATTTCCGGAGGAACGCTGCTCATAAAACCCCAAGAATCACATACCTCCATATCTATGAGTGTGAAAATTTCTCGGTATTTTTTTTGCTTGCCCAAACTGCTTGAAGGATGAATTACGCCTGAGAAACCTGCTATATTGTTGATGGTGACTGTGTTTGAGCATCTCTGTGTTTATTGCAGATGGGAATATTTTGCTTGCCACCTTCGGGTGTTATTCCTCTTCATAATCATCCTGGAATGACGGTTTTCAGTAAACTTCTTTTTGGGACAATGCACATCAAATCGTACGACTGGGTGGCTGACTATCCTAGAGACACCCCCACCATTCTCAAACCAACCGAAAGTGAGTATTTTCTCTTTTTCTTTTTAATTTTGCACTATTTTAGTACTACTTGTTTATAATAGTCTAGTACAATTTCTCCTTTGGCTTTGAGGTTAAAACAATGTTGAAGGTGATTCACAATATGTATGGATAGATATAGACATATCTCCTGTTAGGTGAAGATTGTCCAGTAATAGTTATTGTCTTTCAGTTCAAAATTTGTTTCTCGTAGGTTATCCTTCTCTTCTTATAAGAGTAAGCAACAAAAGAATATAATTTGCATATTCGAATGATGCAGTCAAGAGTTCAGAGGTGCGGTTGGCTAAAGTCAAGGTTGATGCTGATTTCGCTGCTCCTTGCAACCCCTCCATCCTTTATCCTGCTGATGGAGGCAACATGCATCGCTTCACGGCTGTTACAGCTTGTGCATTTCTTGATGTTCTTGGTCCTCCTTATTCAGATCCTGATGGCAGACACTGTACCTACTACGTCAATTACCCTCTTTCTCACTTCTCAGGTAATGGTGCCCTCCAACACCTTATGTTAATGAGTGCAAAATTTTTTCACTCATAATCATAATTCTTGTGTTTAGTTATATTTCTCTTGCATACTATAAATGGAACCTTTTTGAAACTTCAGTGAATGGAAATGCCGTACCAGAAGAAGAAAGGAAAGGCTATGAATGGCTGAGAGAGAGAGAGAACCTTAAGGATATAGTTGTGGTCGGGGCAACGTACAGAGGCCCGAAGATTGCGGAGTAAGCTGATGTTACTGTCTCTGTCGCTGAGCTCATCTAGCAAAGTTGTTGGCTGGATGCTGACATTCTGTCCAGCAACTGACCTTGTCGCCTTCATCTTTGTTCTCGTACTTTTGTGGGTTTTTCCCTTTCATTATTGAGCAGGTCTACAGTTAACATGTACATATCGAAACAGAGACAGAGAAAGTGATTCTGCACAGGTAGTTGAAATTGGAATGGAGGGTCATTGAGTTAGTTGTCCGGTAGAGCATCGTTTTGTTAGACGTGGCAGGTCATTTCATATTAAATATCTGATGATTCAAAGCTGAAAGCAATTGATGTATTATCGAGCAAGGTGGTATATATTTGGGCAAAACGATGACTCTATGCACTTTGAAATTTTGCATGTGATCGTCATGAAGGGGAAGCTTCCCTTCATGAAATACAGAGCTCAAAATCTATAGAAAACATACCTAATATTTAGGACATGTTTACAAATGTATTTTTCCAAGTCAAAACCATCTCTTTGGAGGAAGCATTCCTTGTTACCTATCAAAATCATGGTTTTGGCTTTGGCAAGCATGTTTTCAAAGTCATACTATTTTATAGTGAGATCTTAAATGTAAGAGTTAGTTTAAAGTGTAAATTGCGCTACAAACTTTTATATCTAGAAGAGGGGGTAGTATTGAATTTTGGCGGTTTACCAAATGTGCTCAACATAAAATCATATATTTCTAGTGAATTTTAACATGAAATCCAATGTGATTGACAAATAAGCGACGACATGCTGCGAAGCATACGTGTCTGTGGAAAGAAGTTTGATGTAAATATCTGCAATCAAATTGATCTATAAATTATTAACAAAGTCTCTTGTTACTGGTATCTTATTCTTAAAACATACTCTTATATCATAAAATCTATTGATGTGGCGAAAGGTCGCAAGGCTTTAATGGCTTTCACTTCTCGGTGGTGGAGGTTTGATCTTGCATGTTGTCACCTGTAATAATGATAATAAATAAATAAATCTAATAATATGGAGCTTTGTTTTGACGGAGTAAACTATGGCTAACAAAATTATAGAAAGGAAAGGAATTTTGTTAGGAAAAATGATATGGGATTAGATGATAAATTAACTATTTTAAATAGTAGTGATAAAAAATCTATAAAAAAGTTTTATCTATTCTATTCATCTGAGAAAATTTACTTTTCTTGTTTATATACGAAGTAATTCTCTTTAAGAGCATATGTTTAAAGTTTTAAATCATTAAAGAAAACTGGCAAATTTCAAGAATTTTAGGAAGGGCGGAATTATAAATTATTTTGAAAATAACGCTATTTATGAAAAATAGAGGGACGGGTTCCGTGCGTGCATATGGTTGTGCTGGTAGTAATACTTAACTATTATTGGATCGAGTTATCAGTTTTCCAACACAAACTTGGGATTACTCTTCGGCACTTGCAAACTAGTTAAGATGGTCCCCCAACGAGGATCATCAAACTTCAAAGACGCGTTATTCCATTCCGACTTAGGACTTTGAATTCAGATCACTAATCATAGGCTGCAAACACTAATGCCATGTCATGGCTCTTCTGTTTGCAGTGGGCTTCCCTGCGCATTGAACGTTCCTTTCTTAATGACACCTTTTTTCCCTCCAGCCCCCCTCTGATAAACTTCTTAACAACACTTTAACTTTTTGTGTTCGTCCCTGGTTTAAGCTCCATAAGCCTGTACTAATGGCTGGATATTTTGTTAGGTTTTTTGCAGCTCGACTGCCCAAAACTTTTAGCAATCAGTGTTACCTGACATAACACCATAGAATAGAATACATCCAAATAAATATGGGGTTGGTAATACTTGATATTTATTGGTGGATGGTGAGGATGGGCTTTTATGTATAGCAAATGTGGCAGAGATCCATATATGCCATCATCAATGAATCGAAGTCCACGTCAAAAATGTCAGTTGCTTTTCGGTTTTAGAGTTAGAAGAGAATAAAGCAGCTCACTGCACTGCATTGTGGCTGTGGATTTTCTTCTCTTCTCTCCATGTTCTATACTTTCTTATTTCTATTATGCTGCTACTTTATAGCCTTTTCTCCTCTCTCTGATATTGTTGCTACTCTATTATTTGAAACATATGCAGCGCAGGGACTTACGAAGACGGCTTTTGTTCTTACTCTCAACAGGCATGAATTGAGTACAAACCTCGGTTTGTCATGATTTTTTTTCCGCTCAGACTTCACTTCGTTATTATAACAGGTTTTTGTGAAAGGAAAGATGTGGATTAGTTTACAGTTGTTTAACCTTTCCAACTACCTACAGCTCTTTAAACTTTCGCAATAAAAATGGCGTTTAATCCAGAAGAAGAAGAAGAAGAAGAAGAGAGTACCATGGGGTTAGTCAGAATCTTGAAGTTGCCTCCCTGTTTGCATGTAGGTGTAAATCCCAAGCTTCTGTCACGGGAGACACAGACCATGGATGCGTTATGCTTCCTCCGTCTGTGTATTGCACATATTCCAGTGAATTCAAGCCTTGGAACGCGATGCCTAGAAAATACCACAGTGGCTCCAAAAAGTAATAACTGCACAAAGCAAAACACTACTAAAGGGGCTCAAAAATGACATCATGAAAATCCAAATCAAGAACCATTTGGGCACTTTTTTTAGCAAAAATATCTGTCACTTTACTTTCAAGGTTAATGAGTCCAATGGCACTACCAAACAACGTGCTTCACAGTTCATAGGTTCCATCTCCAGTGCCTCACAGTGGGCAAGCAGCCTACATGAGCTTTTTTCCATGAGACACATTTTGATAAATACTTCCAAATATGAGAAGAAAATAACAACACACCAATCAGTTAATCCCTTTTTTTTCCCCCCTCAAACAATGTTCACGGGCTTTTATAAATCATCATTATCCCAACCAATTATAGGTTCAATACTTCAAAAGTCAAACAAACATATGCCCTCGGGCGGCCAAACCTCCCCCCCCCCAAGTCTTTTGCCACAAGTTATTACCATTTTTATTTAATTATTGAGCTAAAATTTCTAGATTCTTCTTGTCTATGTTATATTCAATTTAAAAAGTATTGAAATAGCATTTGGCTAAGTAAGCAATTAAAATTAAAATCAATAGACAGAGACACAGAGTCAGAAAACCCATGTGAAAGGGCTGTATTAATTAGTAAACGCAGCCCATCTCAGTGCAGCAATAAACGGGGAACCGTTTAGTAACACCGTCAGTTACATTGAGTGCAAGTTATCTATAATAATGAACCTTCATTATGAATATGGAAAATTAAACCAGAGAGTTGGAGGACTTGGATTATTGTAAATACTCAATCGACCGTAAAATAGAGAATTCAAAATCCTCTATTATTGAGCTGGTTAACTTGGATTATAACATTAATTAGTCCAAACATTATTTTAAAAAAATAAAAATTATGGATAGATCCTAAATAAGGGATTTATTTATAAATAAGTCTCGTGAATTTGCTAAATATAATAATTTAGTGTTTTTCATCTGCGTAAAACATAACACTAAAAAAAAAAATCTCGCAGCTTCCCCTTTTATTTAGGAGAATAAGTCCCTTATTTGAGATTTATGTGTGCCATAAAACTCTAGTTTCTATCTATCAATTAATTTCTTAAAAAGATGTCAAAGTCAAATTTTTATCAACTCAATGATGTTGGTTTTACCCGTGCATGCATAATTAAAAGGGTTTAACACAACGGTGTTCGAATCGAAAACAGATTTTAAAAACATCAAATGGGAGTCCAGTTCAATTAGGTAGGACCACACACACATGTATATGGCAAAAATATAATAAAATAATCAAACCTATGCCGCATATGGCGTTTGGTCCCTTCACTATAATAGAGGCACATCGCCTTCAATCCACAAAGAGCAGAACCTTGCACATTTGCATTCTGCTCTATTTCCAACTTCCAAGCTTTCCCTTTCCTCATCTCTCTGCTTTTCTCTTCTCTTCACTTGAGCTGCATTCGCGCAACCTTGTCTGCTTTTTCTTGCTTGATACATGATATTACTGCATCAGAAAATGGCCAAGAGCTTTCTGGTTCTCTGTTTTCTCCTCTTGGCTGCTTCTGGGTTTGTGTTTGGCTATGATAAGAAGCAAAATGTTGGAGCGTTTGAGCTCAAGAAAGGTGACATCTCCTTGAAGGTCTCCAACTGGGGTGCTTCAATAATTTCTCTTGTTCTTCCTGATAAGAATGGTACATAACTCTACATATCCACATGCCTCTGATTACCGTTTTTTTGTTGTTCTTAGTAGTTCTTATTTCTGGATATTTATCTAAATCTTCAATCGGTCTGTGAATAATTTGTTTGATCAGGAAAGCTGGGCGATGTCGTTCTGGGATATGATTCAATCAAAGATTACTTTGTGAGTCCTTCGTGCTCCTTTTTAACAATGTTGAGTTGAAAGTAATTAATTTCCCCAGATTTCCGATATATGATCTGCTTCTGCTTTGTTTTTTTTCCTCAAATTGGACTGGTTCATACAACTCTTTCTGCAGACGAATGAGAGTTAGGGCAAATATGTTACGGCTAAGATTAGAGTACAATTATGCCGTTCTCTGGTGTCTTGTTTTTCAAATGTTTTGACTATGAGCTATCACTCCCGACTTGCGTCCTGAGATCCGCATCTTCCCTCAATAATTCAAACTTAATCTTCTTAAATCATCAGAAAGCCAACTACTGTTTATTATTATAGTCGTGGATCCAGATGGGATGGATGAGGATAACTTTGACGTTTTTATCACAAGTATATGTGATAAAGATGGCCTTGACGATTCGTCCTAATAAATAAACCAGAAAAGTCTCATATTAGCTTTGAACTTTGACGCTTGGAAATTGATAATTTTCCAAAGCACGTGTCTTGGAGGCTTCCCCTTTGACGTATCTATTGACGTTACTTGCTTAACTACAATTCAAGCAATTGCTGCTAATTACTTACTTTTCAGCGCCACTGGCTTGCTTTGAATTGACTAAACCAGGTTATGGGCTGATTAACTTAACTAATTTTATTAGTCATTTAGTCATTATCAAGGGGGCTGTATTCCCCTATGAATTGTGTGGGTAGGAACTGGGGACGTAATACCTCAAAAACACAAGGCACGCGTCCCAGGAAGGACCGCAGGGAATCATTGATGACTTTGATGTTTGGGCTTTTTCCCCCTTCTTTCCAGTGAATCAGGGCCATGTTTCCTAGAGATTCATTGATTCTAAGTTTTTTTTTTTAAATTTTTAGTTTCTTTTTGAAATAATAAAAAATTATAGGAAAAATGGCAAAAAAAACCTTTGAAATAAAAAAATTATAAATAAAGACCCACGACAATATTAATAGGGTTTTGACAATAAATTTTTATAACAGTCTCTTTGTGTAATTTTTCTATTTTGGCAGCCATTTTTTGCTATTTTTCCTTTTATATATTAGAGAGTTTAACGAAATCGAGTAACTACAT